AGGATGGGGTGGGGGTGTAGCCTTTTATATACACGAAAATGTTAAAGGGACAGTCTTGAAGCATCCCACTTCCTGTGTAGAACAATTTTGGCTCCGTGTAAATGTAAATGGCTTTCGCTTGGCAGTGGGTACAGCATACCGCCCTCAATGGCAGGCTGTTGACTTATTCCTTGATGCTATGGCGGAATTTGTAACTCATTTTACCAATTTCGATAAAATTGTATTGTTAGGGGATTTTAATATTAATCTCTTAGATAGTGGTAGTCTGAGTTATCGTAAATTTCAATCTTTTACTCAAAGTTGTGGTTTGTCACAGGTGGTTGATGGACCAACACATTATACTAATACTTCTGGAGCATTGAACGATGTGGTATGCACAGACTGTGTGGTTAGAAAGGTAGATTTGGACAATGTTTCAGGACTCATAGGTCATTGCTTGGTTAATGTTACTCTTAACATAAAGAAAGATAAATTCAAACCAAAATTTGTTACTTATAGGCCTATAAAAGATATTAATATGAATAATTTTAATGCAGATTTAATTACTTATGGCTTGCTTAATAATAATTCTTTATGTACTGTTGATGATATGGTAGACTCATTTAATAGCAAAATTATACAATTATTCGATTGCCATGCGCCTGAAAAAACAGTCCTTTTTAAACATAAATCACTGCCGTGGGTAACTCCTAATACTAAATTTATTATTGATCTGTGCAATAGAGCTCTCTGCCGATACCGTCGAAGCCGACTCGATACTCATAAAGAATATTACAAGAGCCTAAAAAGACAAATGAATATTGCCATGCTTTCTGAAAAGCGCGCATATTTTAATCAACGCATAAACAGCTGCTGTAATGATTTTAAGAGGCTCTGGAAAAATTTAAAGAATGATGTTCTCCCTTACAATAAACGATCAGATACCCTACCGCTTCACATCTCTAACCCTGAAGAGATAAACAAACATTTTCTGACCCTTCCATGCACAGACACAGTTCCACTTTCTGAATTGGCATTTTTTTAATCAAAATAAATATAGTATTAATATTTTTACTTTGCGAACAGTCAGTGAGATGGAGGTGGGTAGAGCCATCCTTTCTATAAAGTCGGGAGCGTCAGGGGAAGATAATATAAATTCAGATATGATATTATTAACACTGCCTCAAACTCTACCACTCATAACGAATATTATTAATAAGTCTTTTTCTTCTTCGACATTTCCGCTTTGCTGGAAGACTGCTTTGGTTTCACCAATTCCCCAAAGTTTCAAATCCTACCAACTATAAAGACCTTAGACCAATCAGTTTGCTGCCGTATCTGTCGAAGGTGCTAGAAAGGATAGTATTTTGGCAATTAACGAAGTTTCTGGAAATAAATAAGATTCTTCCTGAAGTACAGTCCGGCTTCAGAAAGGGTCTCAGTACTTCGACAGCGCTCTCAGAAGTGGTGGACAATATACTTGATGCTCAGGATAACGGTATGGCCACTATACTTGCTCTACTCGACTTTTCACGAGCGTTTGACTCTATCAGTATCCCGTTACTACTTGCAAAACTTACACATTATGGTTTTGACACAGCCACAGTAAATTGGTTCGCTAGTTATTTGACTGATAGAGCTCAAATTGTCAAAGTTCATGAGTTGAGCGGCCGTATAACTAAATCTTCTGTAAGAGGAGTGCATAGAGGCGTACCACAGGGATAGATATTAGGACCAATCCTATTTGTATTGTACTCTGCGGATATCTTAAAAAATGTAAATTATTGTAGTTGCCATCTTTATGCGGACGATGTCCAAATTTATATTCATACGAGTCCACATGACTTGGAGCTGTCCCTTTCTAGGATCAACACTGATCTTGATAATATTGCCCGATGGTCAAGTCGTAATGCTTTGATTCTGAATCCATCAAAATCTAAGTTTATGGTTCTGGGTTCAAAAAAACAGGTCGTAAACATCCTTTCACAAGCTCCTCGGGTTAGCATTCTTGGAACATCGGTAGAGTTGGTTAACCAGGCCAAAAATTTGGGTGTAACTATGGACAGTGCGTTGCGATTCGTTAGCTATGTAGAGACTACTGCCAGATCATGCCTCTTTCGACTGAAGGTGCTCTATAAGATTCGTCATTTGCTCAGTGAAGACATTAGATTAAAGGTATGTGAATCCCTTGTCTTATCAAAACTAAATTATGCGGATGTTGTATTTGGTCCCTGTCTTCTCTCCACTTCAAAAAAAACTATACAGCGTGTACAAAACGCCTGCATACGATTTTGTTGTAAAGTACCATTCAGAAGTCACATAACACCTGTGCTAAACCTACGCAATATCTTGAACATGGAATCCAGAAGGACTTTGCACTTTTCTGCACTGATGCACTCCATTGTCCGGTATAAAAGTCCACCATATTTGTATGCCAAATTAAAATGGGCTACTTATGCTTATAATTCACGCAGGGTAGATAGTTTTTTGTTGGTGACACCATTCCACAAGACAAGAGCTTTTGAGGGTAGCTTCCGGTATCAGGCATCTAAATGCTGGAACAATTTGCCTCCTCCACTTAGACAACCAATCTCTAAATCGGCATTCAAAAAACAACTGAAAATTATGTTATTGGAAAAGCAGCGTATGCTCTGATGTCGGAAGTTTCTTAGTCTAGCCAGCTTGTTATATTTATGTGCACTAACATACCAATGTAATGCTTAAAGTTGTATATTTCTATTTACATGATTACGCTGTTGTAGGTCCGTGTTTCTTTAGTAGTAAATACTTATTGACAGATTTAAAATATTAATTGTTATATAATACTAAGGTTTTAAGGTTTTCGTATTGAAAATAATTAAGAATATATATGTCACAACAGAGGATACACACAACATAATAATATGTACCGCTCTCTCAACATCCAGTCGATGATGCAACAGGAACGACTGAAAATCAGCGTCTCTCTCGCCAGAGATAGACTTTTTGCTGAGTCGTCTCCTTTTCCTCTTTTGTGTCACTTTGCATTCTTATTTATAGATTATTTAATAAATAGCTAACAATTTAATGTTATGTTTATAATTTAGGGATGTAAAGTGACTTAAATGTGCGAATAAACGTTTTTCTTTCTTTCTTTCTTTATTTTCGCAATGTCTCTCGGAAAACTTCGTGTTCGGCTGTCGTCAGGTTTTATTCAGCAGCCCTTTGCCTTTAGTACAGACCGGACGCTTTCAGTCGACTTAGGGTCGTATTCTAGAACTCTACTCAATGCTCAAGTCAGGACTTGAGTATTGCAGTGAGCACTGAAAATCATACTCAAGTCCTTGCTATTAGGGTCGTATTTCCAGTGCTTGAAATCATACTCAAGTCTGCTCAAATCCTGACTTGAGCATTGAGTAGAATTCTGGAATACGACCCTTAGAGGTATATAGAGTTGCTATTACATTTTTTATTTATTATCCAATGGAAGGAAAGCCGCTAAAATCACAAGCACGACAGATAATTTACAGCGTATACTTGTATTTTTTACTAGAAGCCGATACGTTCAAGAAAGACAACAATGGTTATTTTGAAAAAGTATTATTATTGAAATTCTGCAATGATACCAAAACAGTATTCTTAAGTCAATCACTAATGATCCATGGTTCACTAAAACACATGACATCCACGAATATCTTAAAATGCCTACAATTATTAGGGAAATAACTAGGCTAACTAAGTTCTATAAAGAAAGAATACCCACTCATACTAATAAACCAGCTAGCGCATTGTGTGTACCACCACGGACGAGAAGATTGAAGCGTAAACACATTTGGGATTCAACTATTTGTGCTGAATAGTTTTCCACGTCAAGGCAACTCAATGTTGGAAGGGTATGTCTGACATGCCAAAATATACCAAAAAAATGGACTGCTTATGGACTCACATAAGACCAGTTGGATGTTGGCATAAAGAAAAGAAAAATTTTTCAAAAAGTCCAAAAACGTATTTCTGTAGCTTGTGGTGTTTTAATCGGAACAGTAAAGAATATTGAAAAAAGATAAATCAGTTCCTTTACTCCTTATTTTTGTTAACTTGCTTATTAATATGGAGTTATAGTTCACAGATAAAACAAAACAACAATAAAGTACGTTGTTCAAAATTCTAATTATTATAGATTTTAAACCTAATAAATAATGGGCATGGAAATTAATATTCGTGTGCATTCGGAAATCCGATGATTGCCGAGGAACAATGAGAAAATAGAAGCACTGTACACTACATTACATTACAAATCACAATGTTTGACTTTCAAAATATATGACAAAATAAATATTCTATTGCATTTAAATTGTGTAGTGATAAATAGAAATAAACTCACACAATGTCCCTGACTGTAAGCCATTGGTACGCATCCTCAGTAGCAGCCTTATACCCAGCTGCTAATCCTTCGATCTGGATGTAGTACAGTTTAACCTGCAAGCCAGTCAACAAAAATGCTTGAATAGAAATATTTCGCGCCTTCACGAGTATTAAAGGCAAAACTGTAGCAATACAATCCCATTACAAACGCGGCATATTTAGTTAACTTCTGCTATTAAATGTCCTAGCTTTCCAGTAGATGGCGTTAATAGCATTCTAAAACTCTCAAGCAATGTTTTACACGATTCCGCATAAAATGTCGACATTTTAATAAGACGGTTTATAAATAACACATTTAAAAGCGAAATTAAACACATGTTATATGTATAAGCTTTATTCGCCGATTCTCACTCTTAATGCAAAAGTTTATACTTTGGATGTTTTAAAGTCGCTGTCACACCAGTATGTCTGAATGGATTTAAATAAAAATTCATGGATAGGTTATGTCCGAAATAAGCACAGAAGCTCAGAAGAATTTATCTTCAAGGATATACACTTGAAAATGTGCACTTGTTTAAATAAACAATTTTTTTTTATACTTCAAATATACATACTGTTCCATTTCTATTAGTTGATCTACGGATAAATTAAAAATGAACTGCATAAGGTAACAACTTCATTAAGTTGACTAAATTAATATTTGACAGTCAAAAATAATATTTTATCCTCTATTTTCACATAGGTCAAATCCTGGTTTTGTTCTCCATTCAGTAAGTTAGGTTAGTATATGAAAAAGCAGAAGCAGATGCCAGAAGTGAATTTGCTTGTGTTTCTGAACATGGTTTAAGTTTTTTTAATGTCATATTTGTTTTAGTTTTGAGGCTCCACATGAAACTATCAAAGTTAATTTATACAAATCAAACATTAGCTGAGAACAGATTAAAATATAGATTGATTTAGTTTATTTTATGTCTCAGACAAAAAGGATCAATCACTAAAAAAGTTTTTTGTCCTTTTCAATCTGCCATCAGCTTGTAAAGCCATAATCAGATGGGTTTTCTTAATGACGATGGAGGGAGTTGTTCCTGCGAGCATCATGCCCTGTCATGGTTTGTATTGGTGTTCACATTTGTTGATCTAGGTTTAAGATGAGCCATCGTTTCAACCGCGATATGTTTCGCGAACATTGTTCATAATGTTATAAAAAATGTAATGTTGATATGTTATCTGTGTTACAAAAATATGATATTATAATTATGTAATTTAATAAAATAGATGCAGAATAATAATATCACGAAGTAAATAATTATTACGAAGATTTAAATGACAAATGTTATTAATCTTTTACAATGCTAAGATAATTTGATGATTAATTTTAAGTAATTAATTTTTAGTTGTTTAATTATTAATTGATTTTTAAAATATTTTAAATTTAAATTTGACAATAATTTTAAAATTAAATCATTTGACTTTCTGAATATATTTGCTTAGATTTATTTATTTTGATTGTAATAATATTATGATTAATAATGTATATGATAAAAATTGGTACCCTTACAGGGTACATGTTTGATACTTTACCAACTACTATAAGACCATGTAACAATATGTTTTGCAATAAACGGTATTATTATTATTATTAGTCCTTACCTGGTACCAATAAGGGTCATTGCTGTATTGCCTAACCATGTCACTGATGTATTTTTCATTTCTGTCTATGTATTCTTCAATCAAGCCACATACATCAGTCTTGTTGAAGCAGTACCTTGCAAAATTACGATACAATAAGATATATTGTACATATGTTTTATGATACCAAGTGTGAGGACAAATAAGTCGTGCACCTGTTGATAAGTGACACGCCTGTCCATAGCAGTTGCAGTGCCACTCAGAACTTTAAACTGTAAAGATCTGAGGGACACTGCCACAGCAACCTGAGACAAGTCTCAAGTGCCTGTAATTTTAAAACCGGAATGCAGTAATGGTCACTCTACTGCTTGGCGGTAAAATCCTGGACGAATCTTAGGTTAATTCAAAATTCAATACAAATAATATTGTGTTGCTGTAGGATTACAAGATCCAGTGGTGGTTGGTCATAAATAATCTATGTAAACAAATATAATATCAAACATATATTGACATATCCTATAATATATCAATAATTACAACTGCCTCCGTGGCCGAACGGTTACCATGCCGGACCGCCATGCAGAGGTCCCAGGTTCGATTCCCGGGCTGGGAGAAATGTTTGTATGGCCTACATTTATTTATCTCGTGAGTTTGGGTGTAATTTGTGGTTGTCTATATGTGTGTCCATGGCACCCGCGACACAGGGTTTCCCTAGTGCAGGGCTATGTTGAGTGTGTGCGTTATTATATTAATTACAATGGACATATTGTTTTGACTTCAGTAGATAATTATAATATTGATGACCAACAAAACCGAATACAGCTTTTTTACCAGCTTAAGTTTTTCATGGCATCAGATCCATTTTTCTTGCCTAATGTTCACCCTCATAGCCCTTCACTGTTTGTTTGAAACAAAAAACGATTTTTCTTATAAAATGCATACCCTTTAAGCATGTTCTGCCAATGCCACCAGATAAGATCCCTGGTAAGATAGCCTTCGAGAAATCCTGCTCCAAATGCCTGCTTTTCATCAGGGATGTTTGCCATTGAATGGATCTCAAGAAATGCCCAGCTGTGAATATTCCAACACAAAACTATCAGTTATTTCTAAATAACACGATTAATTACATTATAGGTAGAAAAAAGGTAGTAATGGTTTTGTAATTTACTTTCAAGAAAAACTTATAATTTTATGCAAGTAACTGCAAAAATTTGTGAAAAAAAAATAGTAAACATGTTTTGTATATTCGCGAAATTACTTGAAAAACTTTACAAGTTTAAAGACGGCTTAAAATCTATTAAACAGTACATACCCGGTTTCATTGATGTCATTACTGTACGTAGCTCTGGCGATGTGCACATCGGGGATATCGGAAAAATAATCAGTTGTATTCACACAAAACTGATTATTACAACCTACCACGTACCCATACTTCCCCTCACATACGATAAACAAGCCAAAGAAAAAGACAAAACAGAATTTTAATCGAAAATTCATAATAAATAATCTTGTAAAACTTTCCCTTAAATTTTATCAAGTATCACTATCTACTGTAACTTTTGCGAACTGTGAAAAATAAACAGCACAGTTATTATTGAACATTTATCACGTATATAGAGGACACGATTGATAATAAAGTAATAAATAAAGTGATAAAAACAACTTTTCGAAATTGACGGGCGTCGTTTTGATAAACAAAACGGCTGATCAACTTGACAGAGCTAACAAACACCTGACAGCAACATCTTTTTTTTTTTTAATTATTAAGGCAAAGCCATCAGCCTAAACATGAAGTTTAATTATGTTTCTGTAAATATGGCCGCCACAGAGGATAGGCAATTTGAGGCGGCGTGATTGGATTAACTCGGGTTTCCTTAAAACGGGCCGATACGGGTATTTTAGTTCGAGATTCGTATAATTTCGCGTTTTAATCTTCGATTAAGGTACAACAGCACTATCCTATTCCACTTTAAACTAGATTTCACAAAATAATTGAAAGTCAAAATAAAAACGACACTTTTCCCTCCAAAAGGTCCAGAGCACAAACTAGTCCAGAGCGAATCCTTCACTTCACTTTTTATTTTTATGGCTCCATCATTATGAGAAATTATGATTTTGCCAATGTCACGGTTGAAAGAAAAAAACGAAACAAAAAAAGAATTCTGACAGCAACATTTACCCTCTGACACCCTGACACCTGACAAATGACGTCAATGCCTGACAACAATCTGCATTACGTTTCGTTTCCTATAAAAGGTAAACGTTGCATTTTCGTTTTTTAAATCAAAAAGTGTTGTAACCCTTGTATAAAGATATAAAGTTGTCCCATGAGGAAGGAACACGAAGAATATTATTTCAAATATTCATCATAACATAACAAAATAAGAAAATCTACAATCAAGGAACTTAACAAAAGTTTGGTTGCATGCATCGGTAACGAGAATATGGGTCACTTTTTAAAAATTTGATAAACTAATTTGCAAATGCCGTAGTTATACAGTTTCAAGTTTGTTTCTTTTTGTAATAAATTGTATAATTTAACTGTTGTTCCTTTACTTTACGTTTTTATTTTTCACATTTATTGGTCTCATTTGGCCATCAAAAATTGCCTTAAAAATAAAAACTACATTTACAACACGAGAGAGCGGAGTGGTGCAACTAGGAAATGTAAACATCTGGCAATGTTACTGTTTTAAAGGGATCATTCAATATCCTGCATTGCAGTCCGCCGTGCAATGCAGGATTATGAATGTTGTCGCAGCGTGCAAGCCATCCTGCAATGCTTCCCTGTCTCTTGTAGGGACTTATTTGTGAGACACAGGATAATGACCATGTATTCGATGTATTTATATGGAATAATCACATTCATACGAAAAAACTTACACAACTTTGAAAGGCATGAAGGCCGTTATAACACCCGCTCCACAGGACGACGGAGGGTCGTACCGCGACGGTTAGCACTCACTGCAAAAAATCCGCGCGTAATCAGCCCGGCTTATTATGAGCACCTACCCGTTGACTTAAAAAATGAGCCTAATGATGAAACATTTGATCGTCGACTGAAAGACTTTTTGATGGATAATGCGTATTATTCCACTCAAGAATATAGGGACATGGTCTTGTAATATATGTTGTAATTTATAGATTATTAGTTATAATATAAACTTTATGCATACTATCATTATATTGACATAATTATTATTATAATATTTAATATGTTCCTACATTATTGCACATAACTACATTGACTATGTTAAAATTACGTAGTACAAAATTTGTACTGGATATTTGTAATTTTTTCAAATGTAACATTTATTACTATTTATAACGATTCTTGTAATACAATATATTGTATATAATAATGTAAAGTTTACAAGATAATAAAATAAATCTAAATCTTCCTGAGATACTTCATACGTGGGCCATCACGGAACACTCCTTGGCCCATACGCAATATATCGCCTATGCGCACATTATAATGTGTGAGCAGCCTCTGCCTGCGCGGCGGACTGCCATGCGGGTAGTGAATGGGCCGTTTAAACGGGTCTGCGGTCTACGGGGCGGCGTAAACGGCGAGTTAATATTATGCGTTTTGTTTGAAGGGAAAACCAGGCATTTTACTTGGATAGATGTCGACAGTGTTGCCATATCTAGAAATTTAATAGACAGATAAAATGCATCCTTCATTGGCAAACATATGTAAACAGTAAGGTTCGGCGCAGATTACAAGCCGTACAACACATCGAGATCTGTAATATCGAGATATGCGATGAATGCTCGAGTCATCAAACAATAAGCACATTAATAATCTTTTAACACTGGACCATTTTTATTGCAAATTTTGAAGATCATTGCATAGGATATTTTGCCCTCCAGCGTACCCGGCCCACCCAGACCAGAACCAATACAGAGAAGTTCATTTCCCAAATTAGCCCTACCGGCAAACGAATCCGGGACCTCCTCCGAAGTTGTCAAGAGAAAGAGAGTATTTGTAGCAAGAACTTGGCAAGAATGGTGAATTTTTTGTTGAATATTACAATCTGTGCAATACTTTTCGAACTAGTTTTAGTTTACAACTACACTTCAACGGCTAATGCTATCAGAGCGTGTTAATATCTGACAACAACAATTATCACTATGTTTCGTAGTGCAAGTTCGTACTATTTCCAAACGCTCGGTTTGTGCTCTCAGTTAGCCAAAATCAATGGTATCGATCTATCTCCTGCATACCTCTATGGGAACCTACCTATCAGAAGGGGAAAAATGCATGAATGTTATGCAATACACAATTTTAGGCAAAATTAAAACAAAACGTTAAAAAATAATTGTTTATTTCACTAAAATTTGTTCGAACTACATAAGCGCAGGTGTGTCCGCTGCCCGGTCCGCTCACGTGATGGACAATTTGATTCCTATTTCGCCGCATTTGTAGCCCACCTGGGAACCAATTATAAGGAGATTAAAAAGCTTAACGAGGTTTCAAAGACAGGCAAGAAACTCGTCAGGTCATCGGTGGCCGCGGTTTGGCAAAGACGCTGTTTCGAGTTCTCTCAGATCGAATGAATTTTTCTTTGTAATTCGACCTTTGTATTAATAATTATAACAAAGTAAAATAGTAATGCATTGACTTACAATTATATGGACGTCGGGTCCGCGCTAAAAAGTGTCCGCACTTGTAAGGCGCTAAAATCGTATACAGAGCGCGACGCTGCGCTTTAGTCTTCATTTGTTCTACGGACAGCGCGATACTGCGATGACATAACAATTTAAATTTCGAATAGGTTGACTTGGGACATTTTTTTCGTGGTTTTTGTATTAGACCCGTCGTCCATTTATTTGTAAGTCAATGTAGTAATGTCACAAAAAATAAAATTAATATCATTATCGCCTATAAAAGTATCTCTCTGAGTTAAGAAATAAATTTCTCAAAAAAAAAAAAAATGAAAACAATGAAAAAATTAATTAATTAATTTAATTAATTTCTGAAAAATGAAAACAATGATCTGCAGGAAGCACATAGAAAAATTCGTAAGGTCCGGTGGCTCGTTCCGTGGCTTAATTGGCAGAGCATCTGGCGCGGATTGCCCGAGGGCGCTGGTTCGAATCCAGCCGGATCGAATGAATTTTTCTTAGTGTTCGATCTTTGTTATTAATAATTATAACAAACTAGTGAAGCAATTTCATAAAAATAATTGAATATCATGGTAGTACAACATCGTGATATTCAATAAAAACTATCATCTTATCGAGTTGTTAGGTTTTCGCGATTGTTCTACATCGGAAATAAAACTAAATCGCATGTGTTTGTTTTTTTTCAAGAAGACCATGTTTTAGGCCATTTACATGTTTCCCAAGTGACGGTGAAACAAATATACGCGATTCAAAAACCGAAAATATTGTTATCGATATTCTACAGAATATATCACGGAGAGTGTGCGATGGAATTGCATAATTTGATTCCGCCTTCCCCGATCCATCATCGGGGAACTAGACGTGGGCTGGGGTTCCACCCCAGTGTTGTGGATATTCCCAGGATTCGCGCGAAGCGTATCGCTTCCACATTTATATGGCGAGCGGCTAGAGAGTGGAATTCCCAACTTGTTCCCCGAACGCTATAACTTGGACCTTTTCAAGGCGAGAGTGAATAGGCATTATTTAGGTGTGCATGCTACATCCTTGACCTCATCGTCACTTTCCATGGAGGTTAAATGAGCACTTATTTTTTATGAAAGAAAAAAGTTCAATTTCCTATGAATATCATCTTGATATTTAAAAAAATCAATATTCCAAGTAAAGAACACGTTTATAAAAACACTGTTGTTGTGCACTTTTCCCTTCCAACGTTACGACACTAAAGTACGGTGTTTGCAAACACTGGTGTTGAGGTGTTTTTTTGCGCCTGATGGTAAGCTATACGCCTGTCCATAACAGTTGCAGTGCCACTCAGAGCCTTAAATCGCAAAGATCTGAGGGGCACAGCCACTGCGCCCGTCACCCTGAGACTTAAGTTGACAAGTGGCATGTGCCTGTAATTTCACCAGCACCCTTTAAAACCGGAACACAGTATTGATGACATTACTTCTTGGCCGCAGAAATGGTAGCACTACCCTAGACGAACTGTTTCACAAGGAGCTCTGCTGCAACTAAATCAGTTGAATAAGTGAAACCAACCTCGCGAATCAAATAAGGAGTCTTCTCATGCGCGGGCGCCGCCAACCACTCGTTCATGTTGATAGGCACGGCCGCGTAACCTTGCTTCTCCAATATGTCTAACACAAGTCTGAAAGTGCCTCGAAGGCGATTGCTGTTCATCGAGAAACATCCCTGGTTGAAATTAAGAAGACATAATCTGGAAAAAATATTTAATGAATTTATTTAATTATTTGAAATTCTCCACTCGCGTTCATAGTTACAATCAAACATGCAAGTTACGGGGAACATTCAATTACTTGTTATTAGCAGTTTAAAATTTAACCTTATCATTATGACCATAGAACAATAAATACAGTAGAAATGGTTAGATAGCACACGACGCGTGGCAACTATAGGTCTCGAAAGACCTATCTGAGCTCAGTCCGCCATTTTTGCTTTGTATGGTATGGTCGTGTCCTGCTTTCTTGCAAATTTTCTAAAATCGTAGAAAAATGCCTTAATGGGCTGTTTTGGAGCACAAAATTGATAGCCGCACCAAAAAGATTACCCGTGGTGGTATTTCATATCGTCGGAATGTCTTATTTTAATAAATTTTAAATTTTCTGTTTATCGAAATATTTATTTTGTTACAAGAAACGAAAGTAAAGCATATAACCATTGACTTACAAATAAATGGACGACGGGTCTAATACAAAAACCACGAAAAAAATGTCCCAAGTCAACCTATTCGAAATTTAAATTGTAATGTCATCGCAGTATCGCGCTGTCAGTAGAACAAATGAAGACTAAAGCGGAGTTTGGCGCTCTGTATACGATTTTAGCGCCTTACAAGTGCGGACACTTTTTAGCGCGGACCTGACGTCCATATAATTGTAAGTCAATGCACATAATCCTGCAATATGGTTGCTTCTTGTTAGGATAAATAAAAACTCCAATTCGTCGTCGTTCAGCAATGAACCGCTAGATGGCAGCACATTGATTGAAATTTCAATATAATGTCAAAACGTCGCAACTTGTAATAGGTATTGATGGTATTGTACTTTCAACAATATGCCAACAGGGTAAAGTTTATATTAATAATGCAGAATTTGTTTCTTTTCTAATTTGAAACTACGATCAATCAATATCAAGATTTTGTAGTGTTGCAAATTAAGAATGTGTGAGTTTTGGCGCCATCGGTTCTGATAGTAATCGAGGCTTATGGCACTTCCATTTGTTTTTTTTCTTCCTTGATTATGACATTGACAATAAACATTGTTTATTCACATAATTATCACATTATTTATTAACGCATTTATTTAAATTAATTATGTTCTTTAATTTATAACCTAGATTAAAACTTCTACTATACTTCTACAGATGTAGGCTTAGCAATGCTTTCAAAGTAAGCGCCAGCTGTGGTTAGAAACTTATTTTCAGAATCGACAGGTATTCCCGATCTAAGATGTTTGAAACGAACATTATAAATGATAAAAGTACCTATTAAAATGTTTATTTACAAAGAGCAACCCCTAGAATTTTCTTGCTAATTCTTCTCAGAGGAATCTGCCTTACGAATGAGCAGTAGAGTTTGAATCAATATGATGACGATTTCAAGTGTTGCTTACCGATGAAATAAAGATGATTTGGGTTGACTCGACAAAAATGTACTGCGAACCGCGAATTTGTATAAACAAGTTACTAGAGAACATTAGAACTAATTTGTGGAAAACAGAACCCTATTTAATATCTTAATTATTATCGTAAAAATAAATAATAATTACACATAAAAAACATAAAGATTGCATCGGAACGTAAGCACTACTGTTAAGTTGTCGTCTTCGATACGTACGGTAGACTGCCGTGCGGTAGGTCCAATTGTTCAATAGGCACTTTATTGTCGCTGCTTTTTAATGGTATCTCGATCGGGTAGCCATTCTTCAAACATACGAGGATATCTGTAAAAGATGAGTTTGTTTAACTAGACCGCTAGTTTCATATCAAAATTCTACTTTAACTTCCACTTTCAACATGACAATGTAGTAGTGAATGTTGTGGTAATTGGGCAAACTTTGTCTTCTATTTTTGTATATAGTGGCTTGTGTTCTAGAAGACACGGCCGTGTATGAAGAGACCATCGAGTACATAACCAACTCGATGGAAGAGACTAATGTGCGTGAGACAGCCTAAGGTTTGTGAGGAGCTTATCGAATGGAAGACAAATGTGATGGTATGTATGTATATGACATAATTTTGAAGATATTTCATATATCAGCGAAGTGAAAATAACACGTGTAGCGGTCCGTGCGCATTACGTCATCCGTCGATCCACGGAACAATTGCAACGCCTATAAAAAGCGTGGGTAGCTTGTTGAAGGGGATTTTCTTTCCACACACTACACACGCCCTTCTGGCGGAAGTCCCCAGTAGCGCCCTGAGCCGAGGTCCGTTCCCACTTAGGCGCTCTCAGGCTCGCTACTTAATTTTAAGTTTTGTTGAAGTTTTTTAACGGGTTGAGAGCCTTCAGCTCGCCCGTCCATCCGGTAGCGCAGTCAAGGTCATCAGCAGCCAAATGCAAAGTGTCAGTGTCAAATAAAAATTGAAAGGGGTTATTTGGGCCTCCAAATAACCCCTTTCAATTTTTATTTGACGTCAGCCTTGACGTCGTCCGATGCACATATTGTATCGCTCTTGAGACATCACTCACATTAATTAGATTAGCTTCCCTATTGTCTCAATAGTAAGTAATTTATGATTATGAGTACAGAGATTGAACACCGAAAAATTTCATCGACCCGGTGGGACTTGTCCATGCTGCACCGTAGCATTGCTCTTTACGCTTTTCAATCGAAAACGTTTTTCTGTGTGTTCGATCTCAGTATTCGTAATCATAACAAAACTAGTGGAGTCATTTCACAAAAAAATCTCAATAAATACACTTGATTGAAAAGCGACATCTGCGTCAGCTGTAAAAGTATCGGCTGCAGTGACAAGGTTATTCAAAAATATCTCACTAGATGTCACTAGCGGCGACGAATGCCGAAAGCCAGTAGAAAGATGTCTAACAAAAACACGTAGGAGAATTTCGACGACTCGGTAACTGGACTCGTAGCTCAGGTGGTAAAGAGCAAAGCTACGGTGCAGTTTGGACGTGGGTTCAAGTCCCACCGGGTCGGTGAAATTTTTCTGTGTGCTCAATTTTTGTATTCGTAACTAGTAAGTAGAGTTATTGCACAAAAATCTCAATACATAAAGAAGTAATTTGATTAATTACCGTTAAAATAAATTTTTCTCATGTTTTATTTTTATCAAATGCGCATTTCATCTCCATCTTACCTGATGGAAAGTGACGATGAAGTCGACGACGGAGCATGCACACCTAAATAATGCCTATTCACTCTCGCCTTGAAAAGGCCCAAGTTATAACGTTCAGGGAACGGCGTTAAATTTGATAAGATTGGCATCGCCCCAATCGGAGACTGCCTTGAGTGTCAAATCCAAACTGCTTTAGTCACATTTTACTTACATTATTACACACTTACATTTAGTTTGCTATTACTATACTTGCATTTCTTTAAAATGTTTGAACCTATCTTACATACATAGGGCGCACTATAAGTTTCCGGAACTGGCCACTTACATAAACAATATTTAAAAAGTAATTACAACATTTGAAAATGGAACTGTTTGGCTGTAGAATACAGTTTGTTTCATCTGACTGTCACTTGTTTTTACATTGTGGCGTCATTTTAGAAATTGGTTGTCTAAATCACCATGGATTTAACTCGTGATAATTTTCGTAGTATGATTTTCTACGACTTTAAGTGTAATGTAACAGCTAAGTGGAGCTTCCCTCGGCTTCAAACTGCTTTTGGCGATGAAGCACCATGCAAGACGACTATTTATAGACTATTTATAATATCTGGCTATTTATAGCCAGACAGACAAATGAATTTTTGAAGGTGAACAACGTTGACCTTATGACCCATTGCGCGTACAGTTCCGACCTGGCACCTTGTGACTTTTATTTATTTCTAAAAATTAAGAACTAGTTACGCGGTTTTTTCACGGTTACGGTAGTTTTCATCACCTGAAAAGGCTGTCGAAGAGTACGAAAAATAAGTTTCAGACATTGTCACGAAGGAGTGGCATAAATGTTTTCAAAATTGGTTCATTCGTATGAAAAAGTGCATTAACGCTAACGAAGAATAGTTTGAGAAACAATAAATTCATTTCTGACCATTAAAGGTCTATGCACACATATCCGGGCCGTGCCCGGGACGTGGACGGGCCGTGCTCCGTCAGGAGCTCAAAAAAATATCGTTGCGTATATTTTGTATGAACTGGTTCACACATGTCCGTGTCCGGGCCGGCGCCGGGACGGGCCCGCAGCTCATACAAACTAGCACGCCCCGTCCACGTCCCGGGCACGGCTCTGATAGTCATTTATAGTATTTTTTTCTTATTCATTCCGGAAACCTACAGTGCGTAGGTCGGTAGGTCCCCACGTATATTAGTGTGTGCAATAATATTTTAATAATAATAATTTCATGTAATAATATTTATTTTAATATTGATGTTTATGTTGATCTGGTTTTATTGTTAACATAAATTTAAATGATAAAGACACTTAAAGTGTACAAAAAACACCACGGGTAAGTATGTTAGGCTAGGTAATTCCCTATACAAAGTTCGTTTTCCAAATTGGTTGTACCGAGAACCGGGATTTAAGCCAGGACATCCTAAAGCGCCTACAGTGCTAACCAGTAAGCTGCCGAAGTAGTTAATTATAAATCAAATTAATAATAAGAAGCGAAAAGCCAATCACGTACCTGCAACAAACCCATTAGGCATAATAACATTTCTTAAACAAAAATCTGGACTACCCAACCCTCTGATCAGGCTTTCCTCCAGCTGCGCCGTCAAAGGATGTGTTGGATACAAATTCCTAGCTTTCTCCAATACATAAGGAGGCAACTTGTATTCTTGACTGTAAAACGTATTGACAGCTTCGTGCAACGTAAAAAGTTGCAAATAATCCAAGATGTTGTTCTCTCTTGATAGATATTCGTCTATGAATTCGTTAGAAAAGACTCTGGAGAGCAGCTTATCTTCGAAGTGTCCCAACGATGCCAGTTCTAGGCAGAATTTAGCCCACGGCAAGGCAAAGTTTTTGCCATCTAAAACGCGGTTCAGAGATATTTGTGTTCGTAAATTGGCCCAAGTTTCGTGGTCAGGGACATAGTTGTTGTTGGCGAGGCAGTTGACGAAGCCGAACAGGATGTTCGTCCGCGCATTGGAGATACTCTCAGGGTTGGAAGCGGCCTTTTGGCACAGGTATTCTATGAGGCTGAGATTTGTGTGCGCCTGGAAATCATAACGTCAACATTATGCAATAAATTATAGATAAAAATAATTTCAAATTTAAATTAAATAATGAAAACATGTAACAATATTCAGTTTAGCTCAAATTGCACATTTCAGAGTACAATACAATACAATAGTAATACTGAAATTAAGGTCATTCATTTTTGTGTATGTGTACGGTCTCTGTACAATTATAGGCCAGGAGGAATAGTCTGCTTTCGTCAGAGGTTTAGAGACGGGTCTATCCTCGTTGTCTTTTGAGTCAGTCTTTGTGGACAGTCAGTTCGGTTATCCATGGTAGCTGGGCACCGGTCATCATCCGTGGAGGTTGGACGCGACACCAAGGGTGGCTCATAGTGGTTTTGTTTTAATGCAGATTCCCAAAGTGGTCCCTACCCGACCCCGTGGGCGCTGAATACTCCTAAGGGGGTAAGGGCCTAGGAAGCAATTAGGGGGCGTTGATGCTGTCCAAGGGGTGATACCGCATTTGAGAAAAAAACTGAATTATCTATATAAACTACTCTACATATAAAATTTTATTTCTTGTGATTTTATGTGTTAAATTAATATAAAAAAAATACGTGTTTTTAACCAACTTCAAAAAAAGCAAGAGGTTCTCAATTCGGCTGCATGTTTTTTTCTTAATTATAATTTTCTGTGGTGGTGGTGGGCGTTGAAGTTTTTTTAATTTTGCCTGTGTGGGCCAAAAGTTTGGGAAACTATGCTTTAATGTTATGTAGAAGCAAATGAGGAAAAGAGGGACTTGATGGGAGGTGATCATTATCGCCCATGGATATCTATAAAAATACATAGCACACAGCGATTGGCATGCTTGGTACAATGCGTGGGCGGGGTGCCTTCCTGCGCGCGTTTTATATTTGTGACAGGATATTTCTGATAATATCGTAATATCCTGCATAATTAACGTCAATACTAGTTTTGTTACACATAAACCATACTTACAATCCTCGACAGCACTCTTGCAATCAGCAATCCCTTTTCGAATTCCACGTTATGCTTCACCACATAGTTGGCAACAGCGTCCATCAGTTGCTCGTGGTAATATTCCGGATGTTTCTCCAAGATCCTTCCCTTAATTTTCGCTGCGGTCTTAAGTACGTCCTGGTACGACAAAGTATCCAACTTCTGGGTCAATATGTCGTAACAAATATGTAGCAATTGCACTCTTGTGGGGAAGATTTCTTCTGTACAGTTCACTTGACATAATGACCAGATTACCGACTTGGCAACCTGAGCATCTATTCCCTGATCGTGTAGCAGGAGACCCGTGATAATGTTATTAATGCATCTATCTGGCAAATCGTGAGTACAACTGTAGAACAACATATCTTTTAGCAACTGCAAATCTTGGTTGTCAATCTCCATTGGTAAGTGAATTTGGAAAGCCAAGGGTAGAGCTAATTTTAGTGCATCAACCAGATGATTCTGTCCATCAAATTTGGACAGTATGAAGTCTAGAAACATGATTTGACGGACATTTATAATGTTTATTTGTGATCTAATGAGCTGTAACATTGTTTGTGTGATGAAAGAGTCTATGGGTACTCCGAGATAAGACAGGAATTTGGTCGCTTCGATGGCTTCGTTGACGTCCAGAGCTCGCGCGTGTTTCTTAAAGTTTTGACAGAGAATACAGAATGCTGGGTCTTTGATTAGGCTATCCATTTCAGGTCCGTCACTGTTGAACAATAATATACTATAAAATATGCCAGTTATTTTGAAAGAGTCAAAAGGTCAATCGAGATATGGATAATTTACTTAGGTCATTCGACTAATTTTCGATGTCTGCCTAAACGTTTACAGCATGATGCAAAACTTACACAAGATTGGTTTAAATGCAATACGTACCTACTAGTCTTGCTGAGTAGAAATAGACTGCGTAGTGCCTGAAGTAAGTGCGCGTGTGTCAGTTGTGGCAAATGGGCCTGCACCGCGGCCAGCACCGCGGCTGGCGTTGCCGCCGCCTTAATGCTCGCCATGGCCGCGTCCGCGCTGCGAGGTTCCGCAGTCACTACGGGGCATTATTGACAGTTTCACGAATGCCTTGTATTGTAATCTCATACATATATGACACCGTGAACTCGCAGATTAAAGACTACACGACAAACTTCACCAGCAGTGGTGGTGTAGCCACGGGGTGGTCTGACCCGCGGCGAGCTGGTGCCACCGGGCAGCGATGGCGGTGCCCGCACCATGGGCGTCGCGCGGATCACACCGCGCCACATGCTCTTGAGGAGCATGGTCATTACGTCTGCAACAGATAAGCTTTAGTAGGTTGGAGGAAAAAATTATTCTCATTTTTGTGTTTACCAAAGGGTCCTGGGTCACTTTGCGGTAGTGCCTTTTCACATAAGACGTCACAGTTTAGTGTAGACAGAGCATCAAATTAAGTTGTACCGCTACATGTATAGTTGATGCAATATTTTATTCACGCTTTTATTTAACATCTTATGTAAACTTGTCAAAAATTAAGCCCCTGACCTATTTTAATGCCAAAATGTATAATTGCTCTAACTGAGATGTCAGGACCACGTACCTCCACGCGTGCGAGTGACTTCGATTCCTATGTAATCCAATTGCATAGGAAGGGAAGACATGAGCCGATACATAAATGTTTGTTTGGTAAATGCTTGGACTTTGTTCGAGCATTTGCTAGGCGTTGGCAAAAGTGTCGTCACTCAATCTAAGGGTGTCAAGCGTACCGTGCCTATGGTTGCGTGTCTCTAGCCCAGCTGCTAACGGTGCACCCTTGATACCAAGGCACCTCGGGAGAACTTTATGCCCTTCAGCCGGCAAGCGGGACTCTGCTGGCTGTGACCTTTTAATTCCCTAGCTATTATATAATTCTCCTGAGACGTGTATGGAGAAAGAAGAGATAAATATTAACGCTTTAATTTCCTCCTTGGAAGAAACGATTGCTGTGATGGATAGTCCAGGAAAAACGACGTGACTTCGGTCACGGCCATGAATACGAACCAGGCGGGTCCTTCGGATCCCCTGGTGTCGGAATCCAGCGCTCAGCCGCACACTCGGCTGAGCGGGTCTCGCCGTAAGAGACTGCAGGGCCTGATGAGAACAGGTATGAGCTACGCAGAAGCTCTGCCTCTATCTGAAAAGCCCTGGAGGGATCTTCCGGTGTCCAAACCACCTCCAAAACCAAAAGCGCAGAAGCGTGAACGGTCAGAGGAGACGTCGCCACAGGAGCATGTCAGGAAGGCTCCCAGGACCGTGGCGCCAGCTGAAAGCAGGAACAGACCTACTTTCAGCGAAATGGCGGGCTCCGGTGCCGCGTGGGTATCCGGAATTCGGAACCCATGTCAGAGGAGCAAATGGAGCTGGTGGAGCTGTTCCTGGTCCGCACCATAGCAAGTACTACATCGCATGGCGAGGGACCGAAGTTCCTGGGCCCGTCTCACAAGCCAGACAGGATTCTTGTGACCTGCAAGGACCAAGCAAGTGCAGACTGGTTTGTGGGAAAGATCGGCAATTTAAAGCCGTGGCCGCTTCCGAAGCCCACCACCGCCACCACCTACATTCCCAAGAAGGGATGTGAGTCGGTGCAGATGGCCATCAGCCTGTTGGGGGCCCAAAATAGAGGCCTCCGCACAGAAGTGTGGAAGGTTCTTCACACAAAGGAAGATGCGAACGGATGGGTAGTCGCGTTCGCTCTTGATGACCCATCTGTGGAGAATTTCCGTGCCTCAAATTGCCGGGCACACCTTGGTTTTAAACAGGTCACGTTTAGGATCAAGGGGTGTCCGGAAAGTACGTTCAGTGGCGACACTGCGCGGGGTGTCTTGGTCTCAAAACCAGGGTCCGTTACAAGTCCGCTCGAGGAATCGGGGCCGGGAGCCTCAGCGCAGGTGCCTTCCACGGACCAGGGGAAATGCGACGGGGCTGCCCCGTCTGCGATTCTGGGTGCATCGCCCCAGAAGAATCGCGGACGGGAGGCTGCGCACACTCGGACAGCGCCCGCTATCCCGGGTGTAGTGCAAACAGCGCAGCCATCAACAAGTGCCAGTACTGGGGCGGCGCGACGAAAAACTGCCACAGTAATGGCACTAAATGACGTTCTGGGGGGTACAGTACAGGACAGTGGTTTTCGCCACCGAACCCACGCGGCCGCAATTCGGCACGTGGAGGAGTGCAAGAGCGTGGGGCTGCCAACCCGCGAGGCTCACGAGGACGGCCTCGTCCTCGTTGTAGCAGTCGGGGGCAGCAACGCGGCTGGGGCTTCAATCTCCGTTAGCCATCTAACCCACCCACAGCCCACGGGAGATAGGGTGAGGGTTCTCCAAGCAAACCTCCACCATGCCGTGACTGCAACGGCTGTGGTGGAATATTGCTTCACGAAAGGCAACGGGAATGTCGCCCTCATTCAGGAACCCTGGGTTAACCACACAAACATAATGGGACTCAATGCCGCTGGTAAGTTGATTTACAACACCTGTGAAAGTAGATCCAGAGCCTGCATTGTTTATAACAAAAACATTAACCTCATGCCTGTTCCAGAGTTCTGTACTGATGACTTTGTAGCGGCATATCTCTTTCCCCGGAGTAGCACTCAGGCCAAGATAATCGTATGATCAGCCTATCTACCTGGAGAAAAGAACAATACCACGGAAGATCTGACACGACTAGCGGAATACGCCTGGTAACACAAAGCAGAACTTCTGGTGGGATGTGATGCCAACGCTCACCACACCGCCTGGGGTAGCTCAGACTTCAATAACAGAGGTGAGTTACTATATGACTTTATCCTATCAAATTGCCTGTATCTTAATAACGAAGGATGTACACCAACTTTTGTTACTAGGTCAAGACAAGAAATTCTGGATATTACTTTCTCAACGGCTATCCTAAAAGAAAGGAAAGCTGCCCGCCAAAAATTCGGACCTCCAATAAGGTTTCGTGGTGGAATGCAAAACAGAGAAAGCTAAGAGAGAAAACTCGAAGGCTCTTCAATAGGGCCAAACTAACAAAGGAATGGGAGACCTACAGGAAGGCCCTAACTAACTATAACAAGGAGATAAGGAAGGTCAAGCGAGCATCGTAGCGTAGCGGCGGTTCTGTGAGGAGATCGCTAGTACTCCTCAAGGTGCAAGTCTACATAGACTGCTGTCTAAAGCCAATTCCCATCAACCAGACACAAGGTAGTTGAGCACTTTATTCGGTGATTATCATTATAAGATGTCAGTAGAGTTACGCAATAGGCCTGCAGGACTGTTAAAGAAGCCTTATGGGACTTTTCTCGACTTCTACGATAGAAACCCATGAGCTTTTAATGTCAACCCAGTTCCCGGGGGCGTTGTGCGACACGCCCACTAATCCAGAAACGACGCTACATTCACCTCGCAACGAAGATTGGAACAGAACCGCCAACATAATAAGACCCCGACAAGTGGCTTAGGCCATAAGCTCGTTTAAATCGTACAAATCCTTTGGTGAGGTATTACTCCCATCTTACTGCAGCAAGGCATAAGTGTACTCTTGCCATACCTGGTCAAGATATACAGAGCCAGTCTTGCTTGGGGACACATACCGATGCAATAGACAACGTGTAATGTTGTATTTATACCGAATGTAGGCAAAAAGGACTACTCTCTTGCTAAGTCCTTTAGACCCATCTGTCTAACCTCATTTTTACCTAAGGCAATAAGGGAAGGTACTTGACAATCGCATTAGGGCTTCGTCCTTAATATATAGTCCTATCCATCACACTCAACACGCCTATCAGAGTGGAAAGTCCACAGAGACAGCTTTGCTCCACCTTGTGGACAGGGTTGAAAGAGCGTTTGAGGACAAACAAATAGCACTGTGTGCCTTTCTAGACATTGAGGGTGCATTTGACAATACACCCATCGATACTCTGGTGAAAGGCCTAACCTGCATAGGAGTGGACACTTCAACCACGAGATGGGTACAGAACATGCTTTTAAGCCGCAGGCCCAGTATCTCGTTACATAAGGATACTAATTGAATTATATATGGGGAGACTAATTAATTACTTGTGCGGATTTGAACCTCAAGAGAGGCCACGTTGACGAGCATATTTACATAAACTCAGATAGTCAAGTGGGTCTACATACACTAGCCTCAGGCACCCAAACATCGAGGGTTGTCGAGAACTGTGTAAATATACCGAACACCCTCAGGGAAAGTAATACAGTGGTACTGCACTGGGTTCCAAGCCACTCTGACATCGAAGGTAATGAGTCAGCGGATGAACTGGCAAAGGCTGGTGCTAGGGAAACCTTTATTGGACCCAAAACCTTCATATGGATAGGATACAGCCTGGCAAAGCTCACTCTGCTAAATGAGAGCACACACCCGAAAAGTGTGGCTACAGAACAAGGGTCTTGAGCATTCAAAAGCCCTGATATCTGGCTACAGTGCCAAACACTGTGGAGAAGCTCTGTCATTGGACAGGAATGACATAAGAATGCTCACTAGAGCCTTAACAGGGCATTGTGGCTTAAACAAGCACATGTCAAATATTGGGCAGAGAGAAAATAGAGAATGTAAATTCTGCCACACGGAGGATGAAACTCCTGTTCATCTACTCACCCAATGCTACCCCCTGATGGGCGTATGAAGTTCCGTACTGGGAAGGCACATGCCACAACCAGAGGACATTAAATCTGTCGGAACCAGGAAAGTCCTTCAGTTTTTCCATGCTGTTGGCCTTGGCTCTGCACTGTAATTAGTGGTGATCACAATAGATCAGTCAATGGTCACAGTGATGAGGGGATGCATATCCCTAAATAAGGCCACCCTAATAATAATAATAATAAATAAATAATAAGAGTTTAAAATAAATACAATAATAATAATAATTGCTCTAATTGAAAATGAAACAATTTTTTCACACGTAAAATTGCTAAATTTGTTTTTCAAACAACATATTTAAAATTTTTGCTACAAACAAATTGCAAAATATGTTAGTTAAAATCAGGTTTATGAAATAAAAGGAAAATGGAAAAAATAAAGTTACAAATATATATATAGGTGCTACTTATAATGCTAGCTATCCATGCTAAATGGTCAAGAGTTAGTTTTTTCATTTAAACCATCTGGGCCCTTGAAAATATTTTACAATAAAAACTTGCTATACAAATCAGCCTTACGGCTGAATGATTGCTATGACTGTCACGCTGAAGTCCCAGGTTCGATTCCCGGGCCTAGAGAAATATTTGTATGGCCTACATTTATTTATCTCGTGAGTTTGGGTGTAATTTGTGGTTGTCTATGTGTGTTTCCCTAGTGCGGGGCTACGTTGAGTGTGCATAATTTATTTGTTATTTATAATATATCCCTGATTTTAAGTTATTTACAATTAGTATCAGGGTGAAAATATTTTTCAGGTTAAAAAGACTTGTAGATTAAATGTGGATAATTTTCTAAGTCATACAAATAATCAATATTTATCCAACAGTAAAATATATTATGATAAAATTAATGTTAACATTCTTACCTTCCAGCTGGGTAACAAAGCTATTAGACCGAATGGTGAAGAACAAAATAAAAAATAACAATAAGAACGAAACTTATAAATGCTAAATTAAATAACAATATGCCTTAGAATACAAGCGAGTAAATTGTTATACTGGTAATCATAATAAAAAAATTAAAATTCCCCAAATAAAATTAAAAAAAGTCAACATTTTGAAAATTTGGCGAAACTAACCTGTCGGCTGTCAGGTCACAGACAATCAGCTGTTATCGTGTTATTATGATTTTTCGTTTTGGCACAGCTTTTGGCCAGTTAGCGTTTCCTTATTTTATTGCTATAATTTAATTTTGATGATTACATTTGCACAAAAACATAGCTTTTCATTGAAGTTATTGCGTAGTATACGTTTTTGATCTGAAACATAATTTTAACATAACAACTTTCAAAGGAAGTTCCGGTAAATGCGTGCAATGGAGCGTATTTTTTAGAAGTTTTTGTTAGTCGGTAGCAGCACCTTAATTTTTTTTAATACAAAATTCTGTACAAAAGTGATTCTAAATATCCATTCATACTTTCATACAGAAGCTCAGTTTATAATACCACCTGTGTAAAACGTGTGAAAATAACATAAGTCAATGGTAAATAATGAATTAATTTATATAAAATTTATAAAGTATCATGAAAGTATCACTTCAACAAAAGCGAAACGTCAAATTGTAATTTGTATCAAATTGTTTAATGTGTACATATAAACCACGGCGGGTAATCTTCATAGAAGATTTTTGGGCATTATCCCATATTGGAGGAGTGAATTAGAACATGACTTTCTTTTTTTTAATTATTCAATATGGCCGTCGCTGCCATTTATTTTTGTCTTTGACATCGACATTTTAACTCTGGTTTATTATGATTTCATTATGGTACATAGTTGTCTATGACTTCATTACTAGTTTATCCTTGATCGAGTGAAGTATCGTTAATTTCTATCCGTCCTTATCCTCTCAGATAAACCAGTAATTTGGTGTGCCGTGTGGTAATTATCCCCATGTACAAAAAGTGTTGTATAGAAAACTGTGCGAGTAAACGACAGGACGTCAAATTGCATCGGTTTCCCACATCTGAGATAGGACTCCAAAAGTGGTTACAATGCATTGGTAGTATTCAACTTCGCAGCCATAATTTACAGAGACTACGTAGGATATGTGTTTGTAATAAACATTTTGAAAAGAGGGTCATTACTGCCACATTGCGTTTACGTTATGGTGCTTATCCAACTTTATTTTCGGAAAACGAAATAACAAGTGGCTTGCCTGCAGAAGTTTCCGAAAACATTGGTAAGTACATACTTTACTCTGACATATTTATGCTAATTCGCTGCTCGCTAATGCCGTCATTAAATCTTAATTAATGAATTAACTTAATTATTACCGTTAATTAACAGTACGTTAGTCGTGGGTACGAAACTCAATAAACTTGTACTTTGCCAAATGTACTAAAATCTGTTTTACATTTTATTTGTTTATTAGTCATAACTTGTAGCATGTTATCTGTTCTTAATCTAAAGCTCTGTAGTTTTAGGTAATTAAAAGAATGTAAATGAACAAGAGCTATCGAAAAAAGTGTAATTAATAATTGCTCTTTACAATATTGAGGTATAAACCCGCGACAAACAATATGATAACACCAATACAAAGAAACGACACAAAACAGGAAATAGGAACAAATTCAGTTTCAAAAATCAAAAATAATATTTTCGTAATAAGAATAATACTTTCTAATTTAGTCGTTATATGTTAACTTCTGAGAAATTCGGTATTTTTTAGGTCACAATTTACTGTAAGAGAATAAAATATTTATTTAACATTATTTAAATGGTTTTAAATTAAATAAATGTGTTTTATACTCGAAAGAATGAAAAGTTAGTGCTTGTTAATTCAATGTAGTTACTTAAGTAATCCACTAAATTATTTTAAAATGTTAAAGTTCTGTCGGACATCAAATGCTGTCCTCATAAATAACCTCTTTTATGTTTTGTTTACATTCTTTTACCTAAATGTACGAAGATGTAGTTTGGGAAATTGTTTTTGATTACAGTATATAAATGTTTTATTCTGGTTAAAAACAATTTTCAATCCAAGCTTAAATTAAGCTAGTTATTTGTTGTAATAATAATTATTTGATCTGTTTATCATTGCTTTAAAATTAATATATTAAAAAAATCAAGTGACTACTGGAGTCACAAATTAACATTCCGGGCTTTGTACGGGGCCCCAATTCTTTAAATTTTCCTAAAACCACTGGTCAAAGTAATTCTATTGATATTGTTGTTACCTCAGTCCTTATTGTAAATTGCAGACAACATGCATTATGTGTGCAAAATTAATCTTCAATTATAATACTTGCCATGAGTTAAAAAGACATTAATAATTTTTCAGTGGATGTGACGAATGAACACTGCTACACCAAAAAACAACATGAAGACCATTCATATTATAAGTCTGCAGGTAAGTTTCGGTACTAACATCTTTAGACAGTTACTTGTATCAAATATAGTTTATGTCAAATTTGCAAAATCTGACTAACCATGTGATGTGAACCTTAAACATAAGTGACGTTATTTATGAATTATGCATAACAAGGATTTGTGTTTTGAACTTACACTTTTTCATTTCAGATTTGGTGCATGAAAAACCAACTACTACCCGTGCTTTTATGCCCATTGAAAATTTTCTGCAAATGGCAGCCACAGGTAACTATTTTCAATTATCCGACTCATCTGCAGTATAAAATATTTATTTCTTGTTCTAAAGAAGCTTAAGTACACCCTATTGTAACTATATAATACTCATAGGGAAGCTCATAAACAAACCCAATAGCACTCCCTTGGTCAGAGTTATATTATAATAAACTCTTTATACAGTGTACTGCAAAATATTAATTATTGTATGATTTAATTTTTGTCATTTAATTATGTATGTGAAGTATATAATATTGAAAAGATTTATCTCCTTAATTACGGCGATGATAACCTGATAAATAAAATTGTCGGTTTGTAATGTGTGAAGCTCACTTCTGAATAATAATCATAATTCTTTATTTGAATTTCTCTACAGAAACGTTGAAAATTGAAACTGAATCCTTATTCATAAAATCACGTGATTTTACTTGTCCATTGATTAGGTACTTCTTTAGCCTGAAGATTGAACGTTCTCAGTGCTGAAAAAGATATTAAATGGAGTTGAGTCATTGAATATTTGCATTACAGGTTTGGTGCAAATTTGTCCGGTCTCACCTAACACTTCACAGATGGAGAGCAGACCACGAGGAACGCGTGTCAAAGGTATGTTATTATTTTTAATTCATTTGGTGAAATGATTTTTAGCCTCCTCTAATCATTAGGCTACTACGGCTTTTTATACAAACTAACCGTTTATTTACTTTAATTTTTTTAATTTCAGAGTCGGAAAGTGTATTTACCAGGGAAATTGGACCCTCGACTCCCAAACGAAACAAAAATATTAGAAAACGTTTGTTTCACAGTATAAATACCCTGACACCTAAATGTAGAAGAAATTATAAAATATGTCGACTGTCCAAGAAGCAGTTAGTTTTGAATAAAAGAGCAAAATGAGATGTTTTGAATAAATTAACTTCCAAAATGAGGCCAGTTGCAAAAAAATATTTTGGATGCAAATCAAGCAATATGCAAAGTAAATTAAAGGACGAAGATTTTCAAACGAAGAAAAAATTATTGCTTTATCAATTCTCAAACAGAGCCCAAAATGTAACAAATTCTTAGAAAGAATATTTTTTGCCGTCTAAAAATACCCTCAACAAAATGATCTCGATGTTGAAAGTTCTTCCTGGAATAAATAAACAAATCTTTGACACGATAAAATAAGAGGTAAATCTATTTTTAAACTATCTTACATTTTATCTTTGTTAGCGAAGACGGCTGGATTACTTAATTTTTTTTTATGTTAGTAATCCGGACTATGAAGCTATAGGTCACTGGATCGGATCCTGTTATGATGTGAGTCGTGGAAGTAATTTATATTTATATCTGTTGTCTGTGCCCATAGTACCTAGCTTTACTTAGTTTACGACTAGTAACGGTGGACATTAGTCAATTGTCTCAAGATATTTATTATTTATTTCAATTATTATACCAAAGTCTGGAGTACATAGCATAAAGTAATGTAAAATAAATCATAAAGTAAAGTAAGGTAAGGGTACTGACACTGTGCAAGAGTAAATGTTGGATTGAATTATGATTTATAAAATTGATTACATCATTATGTAATTCCAATTTTTATATCAATATTTTGTTTATTCCAGACGACCAACTGGAGTGAAAAACAGAGATATTTCTCCATCATTTTTGATGAAATTTCTCTGCAACCTGGACTTACGTACTGTAGAGCAAGAGATAGTGTTAACGGGTTTGTGGAATTAAAAACAAATTACTAGCCAGTTTGCTGACCATGTGCTGGCATTTATGGTTCGGGGCGCTGTATACAAATGGCAACAGCCGATTGCATTTTATTTCTGTAAAGTTGCCTCTAAGCACGACCAGTTAAAAGTTATAATCAAAGAGATAGTGGCAGCAGTAGTTGACGCTGGACTGCTACCTGTCGCACTAATATCTGACCAGGGCACAGCATTTCAATCGACCATGAAGAGTCTTCTCGAAGATACGAAACGAGATCAAATGCAATCAGGTGGACCTTTTGGTAAGTTTTGAAACTAAGTACTACATATAGGTATTTATTTAGTTTTGCATTTTACTAGCAGAAAAGTGTATGAGAAAAATAGTAAAATTTGAGAAAAAAATCTTTACGTGGTATAGTATAACAGTTAAACAACACAGTCCCATATCTTTCTACATAAGTTGTCTACAGTGCCCCTCCCTAAGTTAAAATAGAGATTACGCTTTATTTAGTCTGTTGTTCGCATAATCCTCATACGCCTACCAGTAATTTAATTTTATGAAAGGAATGCTGATAATATTTGCTAATTATTAAAAAATCGAGATTAATCTAGCAACCAGTTGTATTATTATTTGCTTACACACACATATTAAAAAAAACCAAAGTAAACATACAAAGAAACAACACGTCCATAATTTCATTCTTTTGTTCTTATCACTTCTAAACCGCCCCAACCGAAAAAAGTTTTATGATGTTTTTCTTTAAAAAAATTAAAGTGTTATCTTACAACACAAGCCTCCGCCGATGGCGGCAGCATCAAAGTTAACATCTGGCGTACCTACTCAATCCATTATTGTTACCCATTATTATGAAATACCCAGAACTTAAAGATAGAAATAAACAATAAATAAATGTTTTATCTTTTGTCTGACTGGGAAACTAATAACAATGGGGTTATAAAAATTCTGGAAGAATGGTTTGTTTTGTCGAAAAAATTATGAGTTTTCAGATTCTGGGTGACTTTTATTTATCGAACAAAGCTAAGTCAATTGCATTGCGAACCCTATACTTCATTAATTGTATATAAAATTTTCTTTACCAATTACAAAAACAACTTGATTTCGACATAAAGTCCATAGAAAATATTTTCTCATAACCATTGAATGTTTTCATCTTGTCCTAAATATAATGTAAGATAGTACGAGAATGAAAATAATATGTAGTAAATATCGAAACAAAACTACTGAAACAGCTCTTTAAACAGGATGAAACAGTGTCATCAATAAAACCAATCAAAGAATACAAATAACAAAAAGTTAACAATTATATTCTTAAGACGAAGTGGTATCGTGGTTGCGTTAACGGCGGAATGACATTTAATGTATTTACAACGGAATACACAAGAAAAAATCATTGAAATATGTCTAAATAATATTGGAATTAAATTGATTTTCCATGGAAAAAATTAAGAGTTTTCAGATTCTGGGTGATTTTTATTTATCGAACAAAGCTTAGTCAATCGCGTTGCGGACCCTATACTTCACTAACCGTATATAAAATTTTCATTACCATTTACAAAAACAACTTGAATTCGAATTTTTCAACATACAAAAACCGAGTTTCCTTCATCTTAACTATGGATTGTTGTGCTCTATATGTATGATTAAACAATATTCAATACTTGCCTTGCCGGGGCGACAGTTGTACCACTAAACTACATTTAACATAACAAACTGTTGGAGTGTTTTCACAAAAATATATGAAGATATTGGTAATAAAAACATCATGAAATTCATAATAAAAATAAAATATCATTTTTTTTTTCAGATTCAGTCATCTCATTAAGTGGCCAAGATCTGGTAGTAATATATGATCCACCTCATCTTATAAAAGAGATACAAAATAATTTCCTAACAAAAAATATACAAAATGACGGAAAAATATCGAAATGGAGCGACATTTTCGATGTACACCGAACTGATTGCAGTCACGCTCAAGCCCGACTTTTACACAAATTAAATGACCACCACGTGCTTCCTGAATATATAAACAAAATGAAGGTAATTGGCATGTTATGCCTATTAATTTATAAAAACAAGATCTATAGAATCATTTGTATACAAAAATTAACTCATTTTGAGTTTCATCACATATGAAAAAGATTTTTCATGTGTGTTCCGACACATTCATATATTTGTTGATCAACACCGATCACTTAATATGTTGCTGTTGTTCTAATTTTGTAGTACAATTTTCTTTATTTCACAGGCATTCAAACAACATTACTTTTATTAGATAAGACTGTGGCAGCTGCTCTATCATATACTTCTCAGTTTTGTAAGTAACTTTCTTTAATTCCTCCTTCCTCCTCATTTTGTATGAGCAAGATCACATATATATTTATAATTGTAATCTAATAATTTAAATTTCTTATAGAATGTTACTTACCTACTACATGAATAAATAAAAATGCTGTGTCTAACCATAGTTGATTAATGTTATTTTATGACAATAGTCATAACAGGACGAGTCAATGACACAAGTTTATAAAATAATAAAAATAAAGATCAATCAGTCGTTATCTCAGAATATAGTTATACTATCTCGCAAGGAAATACATGTCACAGGGTAACACCACACGCCATGATCCAAAAGTAATATTCTGAATAATCAATGGGCGTTAATTTTGACTTTCCATTCAGATAATTTTGAATCATAGCTTGTGGGGTTACCCTGTGCATGTTCTCTTCAGATAGTACTTCAAGATTTGTAGTAATTGTAAACAATTCAATGTGGTGTTTTTGTTCACTTTATTTATCTCAATATCAAACAACCTAACGTAGATTACTTACATAAATAATATAATATCCATATTTCAGCTCATTTCTATTATTTAACTTCTATATAAGATTTCTTTTTCAGCTCATTACTCAGACGACCGTGAAGTTGGTAAGACCATAAAGAATACAGCTGAAACTGTATCGTTTTTCGACGACGTCTTTGATTCTACCAACGGAGCCACACTCAATCATATAAAATGAAAAGGAAAAAATCTCAGGAAATATGAAATTTTGTTGGCCAACAGAGTGAGTAGGTTACCCGTGCGAGTGTACCTTTATTAAAAAAACTGGGTTACAACACTCAAAAGTTTTAAAAGATTGGGGCAATTTTTTAAGGAGAAAAATATAAAAATAATGCGCACGAGACATTTTAATTCAGACCCAATAGAAAACTTTTTCGGTCAAGTGCGCGCCTATAATTTTGGAAATAACGATTCGGATTGCCACACTTTATAAACACATTTCGATCTCTATTGATTACTCGTTCATAAAGTTTCATTCGGAAACCTATAATTGCGAAGCTGATTCGGGTAATCAATTGATCAATGTACAAAATCTATTTAAAGAAACGGAGGTCGAAAATGTTACTGAGGATGTTTGTACTGGAACTACTAATGTATGAAATGTTGAATTTGAAAATATTTACGTGCAAGCGTGTCGTGAAAATTTACACGTACACTCACGTGCATACACTGCGGGGTGGTTAGTTCGTAAAATTACACAGAAAGTCAAATGTGAAGATTGCAAAAACGATCTTGCCACAAACGAAAGTTCTATCCATACTTGGATTAGCCATATGGAATTTAAAACCATTAAACAAAACAAACTAACCTACCCTTCGGAACATGTGGTGGCTTATTTTGGCAATATTGTGAATGAATCAAACGAATATTTAAAAAAGAGCCTCACAGAAATAATCTGACAAAAGAAATAAAACAACATACCCTTGCTAAGTACTCCTTTGCCTTTCTCAATTGTATGGTACATGGGCCGCTTGTAATAGAGTGTATTGTTACTATAACAATTCGTTTTGCGGTTTATAATTGATGCAATATTATTAATAAAATTATTAAAGGCACAGACGTATTTCGGCTACGGGGTAAGATTTTACCACAACAAGGCATTAAATAAGTATAAAAAAAAAAATTGAAAATAAAAAAGGTAAAATAAGTAATTTATATTTTAAATTAATTAAAACCGAACCGTACAATTGAGGATGTCAAACAAATACTTAGCTAGAATATCTTATTTCTTTTGGTTATGTGAGCCTCTTTTGCCTTTTGCCTAACATTCGTTTGACTCGTTTACAACATCACCAAAATACCTGAGCGCATGTTCAAAAGGGTAGGTTAGTTTGTTTTTGTTCAATTAATGGTTTTCAAATGTTTTAAACAAAAATTCCTGTGACTAACTATCTAGTTAGTCACAGGAATTTTTGACATAGCTAATCAAATTATGGATAGAGTCTGCGGTGGTGGTAAGATAATTTTAAAGTTTTCATGTTAAATTTCTGTGTAATTTTACGAACTGAATAAGTACCCTACCGTGTACCTGTAAACTTACGATTTGCTTGCACGTAAAGATTTTTAGTTTTAACATTTGGTACATTGTAGTTATACCTTCAATAACATTTTCGCCATCAGTTTATTTAAATAGATTTGGTAATTTGGTCATTTCATTAACCGAATCACCTTCGGGATTTTTACTTTGAATAGAATAATCAATAGAGACCGAAATCTCTTTGTAAAGGCGTATAATCCGGAGAGTTATTTCTAAAATGATTGGTTATCAATTGTACGAAAAAGTGTTCTATTGTGTGTCAATAAAAAATATTAATTGAAAAAAGAGTGTTGCAGCCTAATTTTTTAAAGTATGTACAAATGCCCCGAGGAACTGCCCATAAATGTTTGATTTTACTAAAAAAAATTGAAAATAAACAAGGTCAAATAACAAAATGTGTTTCATTTTTCAAAATTTATTCACCTAATTAATACCGAATAAGCCTAGGAGCCGGAAAAATATGCAAATTGGCTGTTAACACTGTGCCTTCGCTTTCATGTCATACGTAATTTAAAAAAAAACCAACTGTCATGTTCTAAATCACTCTTTCCTTATTGGCCATTATCCGTAAAGGGGAGTGGTTCGTCTGATACGTAGTATCTCTTATTAGTTTGTGATATAAACCCGTACAATATATTGATTAAATACGTTATTAATAATATTAATTCTCCAATTTGTTGCAGTACGGTGTAGTGCGGTATTATTGAGTAATAATCGCAAAAAACATTAAGTATTTATATGTATGTTTTCTAATAAAAATACGTCTCCTTTACCAAAATGCACGAAGAAACCATTGTTAGCACGCGCATGGACCGCGAACTTCGCAAGAGAGTCATACAACCGGGTGACTACACAATAGTGCCTTATGAAGATTCGCGTTGTAAAATCAAATTATCGGAAGTGAAATGCACCAATAAAGGTGGAGAAGATTGCGAAATAGACCCGGATAGCGTTATATTCAGCGATGACTTTCCAGGAATACTTCTAATTGGAGATAGCGACAATTTTATAGACAAAGATATAGAGCTTATTTTGCAGCAAATGTGTAGTGGTGAGAAGAGTGCAGTGAGTTTGACGTACAGAGACAATGATGAGAATTTAGTAAAACAGGTCAGCTGCAACATAGAGCTGCTGGAAGTGACTGAGGAACAGGTGATCAGCGACTGGTCATGGCAGAGGCTGCATGAGGCAGCAATGCATCATAAGGTGACAACAACTTGTTTATCTTGATGTGAATGACATTTTCCATACACTACATAAGTTTGAGAATGCATTCCTGAAGCCAATGGGAATTGTATAGTAATCACTGGTGCTTAGGTGTAAAGATGACATCTGCATCCAATGGAACGGCAATGCTGAATTAACATTTGGTAACCTTGGGGGCCCAACGGTTAGCACCGTCTATGCTTTGGTTTGTGTTGAACAAGGAGATCCTGAGTTTGATTCCCGTTAAGACCAATTTGTTCTTTGGGAAATAAGTTTTTCTAACACTTAAAATAGGCCTTGACATTGAGTTGTGGACACCAACCCGTTACGCCAAGTACCAAGCTTTTCTAAATTACTTGTGTTGTTGAATTCCTTTGCTCTGGTACTTATTTAACATGGGATTCCCAAGTTTGGGAATGGGTAATTGGTGTGGCTGTCTGGCACATTATTCTTATTAATACGAAGTTCTTTCAGCTATGGTGGAATTTGTAAATACTCTTTTGTCTGACTTTCATATTGCATTACAAATTTTCAGGAGCAAGGAGTATTATTAGTGAAGCAGAAACGGTTACCAGATGCTTTCAGAAGGTTTAGCAAGGCCCTCAAGTTGGTGGTGGCCGTAGAGCCAGCGACTGAGTATAAGGAAATCACAGATTTGAGGGTAACTGCCTTTTCTTAATATTTTATTACTGACCTCTTTCTCTTACAATTTGTTGTCACCCTATTTTGAGTGAACCTCTTCTCTAAAGCCTGTCATCACTGATTGTGAGTTTTTCACATGAAAGACTTTGCTGTTGTTGTAATGGGATGGTTTGTTCAGGGTCTATACCTCCTTCGTCCAACTAATCAACCAGCAAGTGGTCTATTGTAATCACTATTAATTTTAACTCACAGCCAAGAGCCACAGAATTAAAGAACTCGGATTGTATTAGGCTTTATTCAGAGTGGCCGCGAGCGCGGGTGCGTGTAGATATTGGCTCGGTCCGCCCATGCTTTTCACAGTGTTTCGTCTAGTATCTAGTGTCTGTATGCGACGTTTGTTTCGACGCATGGATCTACCCGCTGCCGTAGGCGCTTCGGCACTGTGAAAGGGAACACGCCAAGAACCGCGCACCCGCGTCTACCACCGCGCCCGCGCCTTCACTCTAAATGAGCCCTTAGGTTCAACATGTTGGCCACTCTTGAGATTTTGAAATTGTTTGTAATGATTTTGATTGTTTAACACATTCAGACTTGGATCAAATTGACTATATTTTGTTGTCCAATGGGGCAGATTTTCATATGGCTAATGGAGGTGCATCACCTCCCACCGTTCCATAAACCAAAAGTTTTTTCAGGCGGTTTGCCTAGTTTTTGAGTGTGTATTCTTGTCTTAATCTTGGGCAAAAGAAGAGGACTGAGTCAATGCAGGACTTCACACATCTTTATTGAGTCACACCCCGGATACTCCATACAACGGGCGAAAATTATTTACCCACTACTACTACTTACAGTAAGGCGCTATCTGCACACGCATAAATGTGTGTGTGAAGTGGCAGGGTTACACATCACTTGCTCGTAATATTACGTTACGTGGTCAGAGCGGCAACATAGCGAAAATTCTAACGCAAATCTGTTATCTATAATTCTATGATAGAATCGATAATTATACATGTTCATTACGTGTTTATATTGATATAATATTATATTTTTCATTAATTCACTAACTAGAATAATATTGAAGATTTATTTTAAAAACGTATTAAAAGCACTTTATATGTAATATTTTGGACAGGTACCTTTAAATAAGGTAACCGAAGTATTCCAAATTGTGTGTCCAAGTTTATCATTGCCTAGTTAATAATTAGGTATATTCACTACGTAATATTTATCGGCAAAACAAATTGAAAATTCGAGAACCCTTGTCTAGCTCACGAAGTTATGGCGTCTTATTATATTGATATAATAAATCCGTATTATATATTACTCTGCACTAATGAAACAATAACTGAAGGAGTCTCAGACATAAGTTTTTTTACTTACTTAAACAATAGAAACCCTCTCGTTATTCTCTGTTTAGATGATTATAAACAGCCGTACACAGCATAATTCACGACCATTATAAATTGTAACGTAAAATGATGTTGTATATTATTTACGTACAAATTTTCGTAATGAATAAATTAAAACTATATTCAAATAGCAAAGCCGTCTTAGCGCGAAAACGGCTCGCCGACAGCCTTGTTGTCGTTCAGTCAATGTGACCGTCAATGTGTGGGGCGTGGAACGGTATCTAAAGCTAGAGAGGGGCGGAGTTCTGTGAACTTTCTTCAGGATGTACTTTTCATCACAATTTTCTCCTTCACAGTTACAATTAGCAAAACAAACTACTCAATATTACAAGCGGGTAAAACAAAGTAAACTAAATTACTTCTTAAGTGGAGACTACAACTTGACACGGATAGTGTAGGAGACCGTGACGAACATTTTTTAAAGAAGTTATAGTGAATTCGATGAATGGAGCTCATTATTAGGATAGATCTATAAACTTACTCCAAGAAAGACTATGAAATTTACCTAAATACAACATTAAACAGTGTATACAACACTTTGATTGGGACAATTATAATATTTACTTTATTGAATGTCATGGTGTTTCTATTACCATGACATTTATTATTTACTAGTGGGAGTATTTTCCCAAAAAAATATTTTTGTTATTGTTGATACAAAGATCCAACAAATACAAAGAAAACTTCCTTTGACCCGGCTGGACAGGAACCAGCGACTTCGTCATAACATACAAATATTCGCCATTACTAATTTCTTGCATCTTTGTTTCTGGTTTTACGACTTTTTTTATCATAGACCTATAAGATAAGATGAACCTATAAGATTTTATTAGATTAGAAAGATTTTTCTTCTATCAGGCTGGTGCATAAAGGACAATTATTTTCTTATTTTACCCATAACATATTATATTTTTAGGTAAAACTCTACAATAACTTAGCGCACATCCAATTGGAATACAATGAGTACTCAGCAGCGTATGACTTGTGCAACCGGGCCCTAAAGTACGAACCAGACAACATAAAAGCTTTATATCGGAGAGGCCTTGCACGAGTCGGCTTACATGAATATGAGGACGCGTGGAAGGACATAAATACAGTTCTACGGATAGACGCTAACAATAAAGCGGCTCAACAGAAGATCAAGGAGTTGAAACTAATTCTTGAAAATATGAATAAAAATTACAATAGTGTTATTAAGAAAATGTTTAGATGATTTCTTTTGTAATAAGTGTTTAGATAGATAAATATAAGAGTACGTAATTTGAACCAGGTTTTTATTTTGCATTAATTTATTAATTTGTAAAGGATTATAAAAATAAAAGTTATTTGGTTTTAGACTTACTAAAAATATTTATTAGTTAATTGAAGAAGAAAATATAGTCTAAGGGAGTCACTGCCGATTTCGCTTTCGTCATTATGCTGAAAATTTTAACCTAATATCTTCGAGACACGCGTACCTCTTAAGGGTCGAGCCCCACTATTGTTATCATCCATACAATGGACGCGTAGGAATCTACGCATTGAAATCCAAATAATTTTGATTTCATACTTAGCAAATTACACTTGAAATCGTAACATTGATTAAACTCTACTGCTTATTTGTAAGGCAAATTCCCCCGAGAAGAATGTGTGGGAAACTATAATAGGGGTTTTTTTTTTGTATGTAAACATTTCATTACTTACAACATTTGTTTTAAATAATGATGGATGAAGACAACCTGCAAGAACTAAACGGGTCACAATCATAAATTTTATTAATCCCAGTACGCAGAAACTGAATAATAACCTTTAGTGTAAAGTTTTCGTTTCACTGTTGTCTTAAACCTCATAAATGGCAAATTGTGGATTAACTGGAATATACATTGGTCCTTAGATAAATTTGTGACTTTGTGAAGAAGATTGTCAAGAATTGCCAGTTGTATTTTTATCCCTCATATTCAGTTATGTTTATCACTATAGCATCGTTCGTGAAGCACGACACATCGCAGTTACAATATAGTAAGGTTTGAATCCCACTAAGGCTCAATTTACATTGCGGCGGCGGCGGCGGCGAAATGGAATGGAAGCGAATTTTTGTACCGAAATTGTACGGTCAACGGCACATCAGACTACACATTTTTGTTCGAAAATCGCTTAAAAAGTTACGTCCATGTGTTTACATAGCAAAATGAACATTATGTCAATTGTGTAATGTACAAATTAGATACGAGCCAAAAAACAAGGCGTACTGCGACCGCGCGCGCCTTCTTGCGCAGCGAGGCAAAATTGACGCTTTCGTTCCATTCCTTAAATAGATGTCCAAGTATAGATGCGACTTGAACGTCTGTTTTATATAGAGTGTCGTTAGAACCGTAGCCGTGTTAATTTCTCATACAGTATCTGGTCGATGCTTTCTGCGCGTTCGCATTGTATTGCGCCTGCGAGACTGCACGCGTACGTGCGCATAAAAGTTAATCACCCAGTGTTGAGCAATCACTATAGTGCGCCACGGTACTCCATATAAATCGCACATTTAGTATGGACGCAATGCCGAAGCGTGCCGTCTAGTGAGGTTCAACCTTTAAGGGACCTTCCTAAATTTGGGTTGATAAATATATTCTTCGCATTATTTTCTTTCAACATGAAATAACGTGATACACTTCATTAACTGCGCTCGTAGGCGATGGATATGGCGTGTTACTCCTCGTAGGACTGACGACGACGAAGTAGTGGCGTCTGTGCGATCCACCTTAAATCTTTCAAGGACTTTAGGAGCGCGAGGTGTAATTCAGGTAGCTCTACCACACAATTAATAATGCAAAAAAAAACAGCCTCAACCAAATCTAACACACGTGGAAAACACATCGATCTTCCGCCATGTTGAATGGTTCTGGAGTTCTGCAGCTTGATCTTGATTGCCCCTCCCGATCGGAAACTGCGTCTTTTCCGAGTCGAGGCGCTTAATTGCGATTCACAACTGGCCGATCGGAAACTTTTGACATTTCAAATCGGAACAATAGCTGATTTAACTCACAAATTAGAAAGATATAATAGGAATCAGGTTCATCTTCTCGCTCGGAAACCCATCTCATTTCGAGACTCGGCTGGGCTACCCCATCGGGTCGATTCCGGTTTGAACTAAAATCAGCTTGCTGGTGGCAGTTGTTGCCGTTAGGGCGCGTTCCCATTATGTCGTGACGACAGATAGTCGTGCAGTTTAAAGTGTCGTGGTTTATATATTTCAATGAAGTTATTCACACATAGAACAACACGATTAACTATCGTTCACGATTTATTTGACCGTACGACGACAGATTGTCGAGACAATGGAAAGAGTTAGAACGACATTCGTCAGACGATAAATAAAACGTCACGATGAAAATGTGAAAAATCCCTTTTGAATTCCTGCGGGAATACAGCATGGAGTCCTTGGGAAATCGGGAGACCCCGACAGGGAGTTAATTCCATAACCTAATTGTACGTGTGAGAACGCTCCCCTGGTGTGCGTATATGACATATAGTTGTTTAGGACACGTACGTTATAAACAAAGTATTCACAGATTACCTAGTGGGTTATCGTTACCCACGCGTGCACTCGTATATATCGGGCACGCGTGCTTATTACAACATGCGAGGACAAAAATTACAAAATAGGAATTTTTCCTTTCATTTGCTGGGTATAATCAACAGACGCGATTGCTTACGACGAGGCGCTATACAAGTCATTTTTAATTGTGGTAGTCCTAAACCAGTGCGTGAGCACATACTATTTGATACCTACAATATGCCTACAATTTATAGATTTTATTCCTTTTGAATTTGTATTCTTATTGACGTTATGTTTTTTCATATTCAGTAGTTGTCTTACAAATATTATAGCTGGAGAAATACGTCCCCGAAAATCCCAAAGCATTGTTTAAATATTTCGGCCTTCTCCCTCTTCCTAAAATTACTGGTAGACGTCTCGCCAACAGTTATTATGGAATCGTATATAATCATATTTATAATTCACACCTCTGATATAATAAAGCCACATCTGCAAAATGACAACTTTTCAAGAGAGAGGTTAATGTGTGAAACACTGAAAGCGGGTGCGTGTCGGGTGTGTGTCGGGTCGGGTGTAATTCCACATGGACGACAAAACACTACGCGCCGCCGGACAGGCGCAGGTCGTGTCGGCGATAACTTTTATGATTAAATAGGAGAATCACTTATCTATACGTAATTTTGTTTCCGTAAATTATTTTTAAGACTTTCATGTGAGAGAAACACTTTCACGAGCACAAATGGCAATTTTATACCCAATAATAATAAAAAACTAGCGGTTTCTGCCGCCAAGCGTTCAGTTTTGAAGGGTAAGGGTGCTGGCGAAATTACAGGCACATGAGACTAAGATCTTTGCGATTTAAAGCTCTGAGTGACACTGCAACTGTTATAGATAGGCGCACGTGTCGCTGTTGAGCGCATCTCTAGAGCCTCAGCACTATTCCTGTTAGTATACACAGGTTTATTTACGTTTGTTTCAACTTTGTAATAATCTCAACATGGTAGCAGTGTATATTTAAATAATCTCAACTGTGGCTTACCACCAGGCGGACTTGTTCGTCTCGTCGCTTGGTATAATAAAAAAAAAGTTACGTATTCCTTTCGGCTATGAAATATTCCGGAATATTAGCTACCCAGGTCTTTAATTGGTTTAGATTCAAACCTTCAATCAATAGTACGAATTCAGAACGATAACATTTTAATAATTACGTGGAAAATTAGGTCAATCTCAACATGTCCGTTACTGTATCTAATTGAAATAAAATAGTAGAGTGAGTTAAGTAACGAAATAGGTCAGGAGCGTAAAAGAGGCGTGGTACCGCAAGGCAATTATTGATGCCGTTGTTCTATTTTAAACAGTTTCAAATGCAGGACGTATTTATCCTATCCTAGTATATATCCTATCTATCAACATTTATTGACATTTGTGTAAAAAACAACCTTTGTAGAAAACTTGATACGGCTTCAGCAAAATTCATTTCTTGTTGTGAATTAAAACTTGTTTTCTCTACGTAGTGAACAGTCGATGTATATGAGGAATTTTAGAGAGAATATTGCTGGTTTAACGCCATATGACATCATTCCTGAGCCAGTATGACTGCTGTTCTGACATCAGACTTGTTTAGTTGACCTTACTTTAATGTAGTCAACTCGGATAATTTGATGCGAACGCACGCTCAATAGCGATACAATTTTGTAAACAGTGCACGAATAGTGCATGTTTTGTTTCTTTTAGTGCGTAATTTGTGACTGTAAAGAATAATAATGGCAAGTGAGTGTGATTTTTTTCTATATTTTAATGGTTTTTGTTGTCAATTACAAAAAAAATACGTCAGGTGTGAATAAGGAACATGCTCATATGTGGATGAAGTAATTATGTATTTTTAGAGTTGGTGTCGGTTTGTTTATATTTTAACCGATTACGATGACCCAGTATGGGTACCTAATTGTTATATCAGTGCATATAGGAATTACATTATGTACCCCAGAGTTTGAATTTGGTAGTTATCTCACTGAAAGCAAATATTTTAACATTATTTTTTTTTAAATAGTCCTTTTCGATTACGATTACTTTGTTCATGAATCTAACTGGATACTTTCCTTCTTGGTTCAAAACAGGAAATTTATTTACCACAAAGTTAACAATAGCGTACTCTAACTTGAAATGCAATGAAACATTGTCACAGTCCAGTTGCGTTAGTGATACTGATAACGAAAGTGTCAATTTATTTTTTGAAGACGCAAAATGAGTTTTACAGAGGGAATGGTCAGAGTTTATATGGCATTTGCATTTTCATGGTTATCTATTCAATTAGCCTTGTATTTAAATTAACTGGAGTCATTAAAGTAAGATTGAATGTAATCAAAATTGCCTAAAGTCATTTGAATATAATGGAAAATAACACTTGTTACTTAAATTAATTAGTATTATTTTTCAATGGGAGTGTGCTTACTTTTGTTGAACTAAAAACCTAGACATACTTTTGTTGAACCAAACATCCAGACATACTTTTCTGTAACCAAAAATTTAGACACGCTTTTGTTGATACATAAACATAAAATCGCACTTTCGGTATAATAAAGTCACATCTGCAAAATGGCAACTTTTCAGGAGACGCACGAAATTTTTCGATATTTTTTTTTGTTCAAATAGGAGCGTTATACAATTTCACATTATACTTAAATTGTTTCATGTAGTTCGTATTATACAGGGTGATTTGTAAAATACAAACA